CGAAAAAGCAAAAAGCACGAATTCCAGAAGGAAAGTCCAAAATTCCGAGAGTCATCGGGGCTCGACGAAATTCGAAAAAGATTCTAAAGGAAATTAAAAAAGAACGAAACAATTTCCCGCGCGATGTCCGCGCCCAAAAGATCGAACCCGAAACAAGGGAAACAACGTCAACATTTATCAATCGCGCGCGTGGTGGCGCACCAGTCATCCATCCGACCAATCCTCAGCAGGCCGTCCCCGGACACACCCAGCTCCGTACCCAGTCATCCGACAAGAAGCGGCGAAAAAAAGACGAAAAAGCAAAGCGGCGAAAAAAAAGACGAAAAAGCAAGGGTACTGATGCAATTTTCCATCGATCCCAATTTCCCGTAATTGGCCCAATCTTCCCAACTTAGGACCCCTCGTTGCAACCGTGCAGAAACTCGTGTATTACAGAAAGTGGTTCGTCACAGCGCTGCGAATAACACAAGGTGATCCTGAGGACGATACCAAGGAGATAGGAGATCGGGTTTTCAACACACGATGGCTTCTGCAGAGGGGCGGCGACTCGAGGCGGACTGCTGGCTCTCTAGCTTGAACGAATGTCGGGAGAAACTTCGGGCTATGGTGGTCCAGCTCTCATCCCACCCCCTGTCTGGTATTGAGGTCGAAGGTGGAGCAACCTCTGTAACCGGATGGGTGGAGGCCATAGTGCAGCGCATGTTGGAAATCAGCGAGCCTTTCGAAGAGGGGCCTGCCATGGAGATAGATGCCTATATTGACTGGCGCGGAGCAAACGATTTATGGAGTGATTGTCTTCAGCTTCAGGACGAAGCACATGCGTGGGGTGTGGAGGTAATTAGGCGCTCCCATGCAGCCGGATTTGCAACTTCGACACTATCACCAGCAGTATCGTTGACGGTATCAACAACAAAATCAACGCCAACATCATCAACAACATTAACAACAGCATCAATAACAACATCAACAACAACATCAACAATGGTAGCATCAACAACAAGTTCGACAACAGTGCTTATGACGACGACATCTGAAGAATTGCCAATATCAAAGACCGCAACAGGTGCCCCAGTGTGCATCACGGAGATATCGAACGCATGGGGAGCGGTTTCTACTCTAACGCCGGACCCGTTGGGCATCATGGTGACTTCTTTCGAAACGGGGTCGGCATCATATCTTTCAACTACCGCTCAAGTTTTAACATCCTTAATTGGGATGGATGCGCCGATTTCCACAGTAACGAGGATATCAAACACACCAGGAGTGCTACCTACCCCAACGATGGATCTGCTGGGCATTACGAAGACATCTCTTGAAATCCGTCTAGTATCAAGTTCGTTCACAATAACACCGGGAGTGTTTGCTGCTCTGTCCGACGATCCAGTGGGTATCACGACGACATCTCACGAAACTGATCTATTATCGACTTCATCGACAACAGTAACGATGATATTCTCCACTGCGGTTGTGTCACCGGTTGGAAATGAGCGGGTCATGTGGTCCCCTGTGTGGTTACTGATAGGGGTAGGTCAGGAGACGGAATGGTTGATCCTGTGGGTGGCATTTTGTCTCTTCATTCATCGAGTCTGGGTGGTGTTTCGAAAGTGCTTGGGATAACTTGCCCTGTGTTTCCAATTGGCTATAGCCTGTGGAATGGATTTGCCTTGCTTGAAGGTTATCTGCTTCGATCTGATTGCCTGGTCGATCTCATAGATATGGATCTATTACGAATGAGTGATTTCAATGGGACGCTGGGCCCGGTTCCCAGCAGGTGCAGCTCCCCACCAATAGATGGAGCAGCCCAACAGTCAAGTCCTCAATCTTGGCGGTTCTCTCACCACCGCTGGGATAGAATGAGTGATTTCCCCGTGTTACTGTGGACCGCGGGAACTATGACTGTCACATAACTTGTATGCTGAATTCTTCCTTTCTTGATTTGCTTTAAGTTCATTTCATCTCAAGGATCCTGTTAACTGTTGGGCATATCCACTTACGGTTTTGACTGAGACCCAGGATGTGCTCGACTTACTTTTGCCCTGCTATAATCTCCCCGCCTCCCCGCTGTGCTTTTGATTTGTAGGGTTTGTTTTTGATTTGTAGGGTTTGATCATTGGCCGTTTGCTATAGTAGGGCAGAATTTGATTGTCTATGGGACTGGGTTAATCCTTCCCTTCAGGGGAAGCAATCAATGCTCAGTGCCCATGATCTATTCTTGTTGACTAGGGAAGCTGCCTCTGCGGGAGCCGTGGCCGAGGCTCTTCCAGCCCTAATGGGAAGAGGCGTCTGTTTGCGTTGTATTTCAATTGGTAATTTGAGCCTTGGGCACTGGGCCCCCGTGTTAAAGCACCAGTACCTTTGACGGTTCGAACATACTCGGCCTCCGACCTTTCAGGAGGCCGAAACGAAACGACGAAAAAAGAAAAGAACGCGAGCAAGTGGTGCCTCCCGCACAGAGTACCGGATCAGCTTTTCAACCCGTTCTTTGGCTGGTTCAGGCGGGAAAGGACGCAGGCTGCCCTGTTTTTCATTTCTTATATTTTTATGGGCCGATTACTGCGATCCCGCAAAAGAGGCGGGCAAGCAATTACCGTCTGAAACGTGCCTCCGGGAAACTGGTTTCCCGTTGGAGGGCTTAGTTTGCCAGTGGAGGGTTTGAGAAATCTTACGTACCCACCCCGCCCTCCACGAAATGGCGCAACGTGTATCGTCTGTGTCGAGCCACATGGCTTGCCGGCTAGCGTTCCACGTGGCGCAGCTTTGTTTTCTCGCCTTGCTCTTGCCTCTGACATGTCGTGCAAATGACCTCCATGATGATGTTTTCGATATAACGCGGTATTTGTCAACGAACTCGAGGTACATACATATCGACCTCCTTCCTCCTTCTCCTTTCGTCATTTTGTGCTCTCATTTCTTCGATCTGTGCGTGACATCCTTCATCTCGCCGGGGCTATGCTAATCTTCTCCGGTGTTTCGTTCCAGATTTAACGGCTATGATCTCCCAACAGGAAGACAGAGTACCCATCGTTGTCATCACTGTATATCTCCGCCAGAACTTCTGGGTTGGATTGTGTTTTTATTTATTTATTTATTTATTTATTATTTTAACAACCATGCTCCAATCTATTCGTGGGGAGCAACACGTGCTGGGAATCGGGCCCAGCGTCCCATATGTAGACATATGAAAAGGCACATACATATATATGAACACAAATTGAACACAAATTGAGATACTGGAGCCATTACCCGGCTTCGGCTTGAGAATATCTTGCATGATCCTGAACAAGCTACGGAGTTTTAAGACCAACAATGATGAGAAAAACTATGAATCCTTTCTTTTATGGGTTGGATTTGTTGTTCCTTTTTTACGGCTTGAGTATCTTTTTGTCTGTTCTCAAGGGGGCAGGGTTCGACTTATACGGATTTTCCATTTCTGATCATTGATCATTGATGACGAAGATCGAGGGTCAGGGCGGAAACATCCGGCTGCGTGGGGGGGTGCTCGTCCTAGAGATCAGCTTCCTCTCTCTTGGATGATTAAATTGATCCCGCTCTAAGTGGATACGCACAATAGGAATTCTCGTGACTGAATTTTGCCTGCAATTGCCGCCCGATGCGTACAGGAAAGTGCAAGCGTCAGTATGCCCCAACAGTAACATTTGTGCATTCAAGTTATCATATCGAAATACTTGTACTTACTTTATCAATTAATCGATGGCAGAGAGAAATCCAACCGATCTTGTGTTTCGGTAATTTGGATCTCTCCGTTATTTGTCCCGAGCAATACACATCATCGTTGATCGTCGATGCGTACTTTCAACTCTCTTCTCCTCGCTTTCCAATCCACTGTGTTGTGCCCTCTGCCTGCTTCTCTCTCGTGTTCTTTCCTCTTCCCCTCACATTTGTCTCCCGTCCTTTTATTCTCTTCACCTTCCTTCCTTCTGTTGCCTTCGTTCTCTAGGCCAAGTACTCTAATAGATTTTCTCTATTCCGGGTTACTTGTTCTGGACGTTGTCAGGTCTCTCTCTCTCCCTCCCTCCCTCCCTCCCTCCCTCTCCCTCCCTCTCCCTCCCTCTCTCTCTCCCTCTGTGTCCGCGCACGCTCGCTGGCTTGCTGCCTGGTTCTCTGCGCTTTATACTGTATGTGCTCAGAAAATCTCATCCTCCCGTATTCTCTTCGCTCTCTCTCTCTCTCTCTCTCTCTCATTCTCTCTGCTATCCAATCTGCTGCCACGTGTCTCACACGCCGATCGGCACGTGCATACACACTTACAAACACAGATCATGTGAGGCAGTTCGAAAGAAGAAGGCACGACTCACAGACACACAAGCAGGCACAGAGAGAGAGAGAGAGAGAGAGAGAGAGAGAGAGAGAGAGAGAGAGAGAGAGAGAGAGAGAGAGAGAGAGAGAGAGAGAGAGAGGGGGATGGGGGGGGAGGATGGGAAATGTAGGAGAATGGTGAAGAATGAATGTATGAATTAACGAGAAGAGAGTATCGCCGAGGAGAAGGAGAAAGGTGCAGAGCTGATGAGAAAGAAACTGCAAGAGAAAACGCGTTCACACGAAGAAGAAGAGCCCGCGATGATTTAAGAATGATCAATCGAGTGCAGATCTTTTCTTTTCTTCTCTCTCTCTCCCCCTCTCTCCCACTCTTTCTCCCCTCGCTGTTCTGGGGCATGCCTTTCGAAGAAAGCAAACGATCAGAGTCTGGTCATGCCAACTACGAGACATTATCCCTACCTGTCGTCACACACACAGAGAGAGAGAG